AAAAAAAAAAAAAAAAAAAAAGAAGAACTACAAATAAAAGCCTGAGGTTAAGGAACATGCAGAAGACCCTATGAAGGATCATGAGGACAAAAGGCCTAAAAGAAAAAGTAAAATGAGAAAACCAAAGAGCTTCAAAAAATAGAGAGATAAAAACTAGTTTTTATTCATTTATATATTTATTTTGGAAACAGTGTCTCACTGTGCACTGGGTAGAGTCCCGTGACATCACAGCTCACAGCAATTTCAAAGTCTTGGACTCAAGTGATCCTCATGCCTGAAGTCCCAGTAGGGGGGACTATAGGCAACTGCCACAACACCTAGTTTTTCTATTTTTAGTACAAAAGGGGTCTGGCTCTTGCTCAGGCTGGTGTGGAACTCCTGAGCTCAAGTAATCCATCCGCTTCAGCCTTCCAAAGCGCTAAGATTAAGGCATGAGCTATCGCGGTTGGCCAAAGTCTAGTTCCAAGAGCAGAAAAAAATGGATTTAGAATTCAATCAAGATAAAAATGTTCCTGTACCTATTCTCCAAACAAAATTTTGCTTTTTTAAACTAGTTTTTTTTGTGTGTATATTAAAAAAAGACAAACTAGTATATGAGTTGTGTATGAAGTTTTTTATTAAACTAGATTTTTTATAAAACCCTTAATTATTCATACCTGGTAAGGATAGGTACCATATCCTGCCCACTGCCATGTTCCTTTTCCCACTGCTCCAGCAGGGTAGTGAGCTCGGCTTTGGAGTCCACATGTACCACTACTGTAGTCATGGCTTAGCCTAAGGAAGCAAAACAAACAAATAAAAAATAAAATAACAAATGAACACAGGCAAGCAAAAGTGAGGATGGAGCAGAAAAGAGATGATCAAGCAAAGAAAATAATAAAAAAGGGAAATTTAACTTTTGAACCTTTCAGATAATGTTATGTGTGATATAGGGAATAACTATGGACACTCATCAAGCCTAGTAGTCAAGTCATAATGAAAACAAAACCTTTCACTTTTTTTAGCCTCAGCTTCCTTAGCTATCAAGTGAGGTAAAAACCTTTATCAAAATGGTGATTCCTAACCTTTTCAGGAACCCCTTTAAGAATCAGACAAAAGCTATTACCCTTCCTTCTCTTATTAAAAATACATTTCCCTGGCAGCGCCTGTGGCTCAGTGGGTAGCGTGCCAG